CACAAAGAGGTTCTGCATCAGGACCTGTTCTGCATCAGGACCGGTTCTGCATCAGGACCGGTTCTGCATCAGGACCGGTTCTGCATCAGGACCGGTTCTGCATCAGGACCGGTTCCTCCTGCAGCGGCGGGATTTTACCGCAGTAAGTTTCAGCCCAACACTTCCCGTCCTACCTGAGCCTGATGTCCTCTCCCTCTGCGCACCTTCCTCCGCGCAGCGCGAGCTTTAATATCGCTTTACAGGAGCGGTGAAATATTAATGCAGCTCCTGGTCTCGGTCCACATCCTCCCGGTGTCGGCTTTCAGCGTCCATCCGAACCGGAGGAAGAGCAGAAAATCCCGACTGACAGCTTTCCAAATCATGCCGAGGAGGAAGAGGAGGAGGAAGATGAGGAGGATGAGGAGGGATGGGAGGACCGAGCCCTGCAGCATCAGCACAAAGCAGCAAAACAACAGGCGCAGATCCGAGCAGAACCGAACCGGTCCGCTAATTTGGAAGCATATTGCAGGATTTCATGAGGAGGGAAAGTGAGGAGGAGGAGGAGGAGGGAGGGCGCGAGGAGGAGGAAGAGGAGGAGGGAGGAGGAGGGGGGAGTTCGACGCAATGCAGACACACTGTACGGAACAGTTGGACCTACAGTACCGGCTGCGGGTCGAACCGGACCTCCTGTCAGAGGAGGGGAACTGTCTGCCCCGCCCCTCCGAACCAGGACCGGGTCTCCTCTGTGGGTCGGTCCGGTTCCGCTCTGCAGGTATCCACCAGATCAAAAGCAGCGATCCGAACCGAACCTCGTGTTTAACCCGAGAACAGTTTGTGACAGACTGCATGTAAATATCCCGCTGTTACCATGGCAACAGGAGGGCGGTCAGATCAATCGACCCGACAGAGATCAATGAGATTCATCAAAGATGCAGAAATATTTCTAATAACAACGTTCAAAATACTGAAAAACTACAAAACTGTCTGTTAGCAAAATATCCTGAAGCATGAGTTTAAACAAAGATCTCAGATTAATCACTGAAAGTGATTAACTGATTCAAGATGGCCGCCACGGCTGATGCGGCTCTGCTGACTCAGATCCAGAGCTGATGGTAGTAGCTGAGAGTCMTCCATCAGATTAACTGTCAGAGATTACTGAATGAAACTTTATCTGCTCAGATGGTCCAGAACTTTCAGTGTCCAAATAAATCAGTTTGTTCCAAACAACAGTTCACTTCAATCACATCCAGTTCACTTAACGAGTCTTAAAAATGTCAMCTTTAATTTAATTAAAACACAAAAACAGAAGCAACTTGTTATAAAGACAACAGGTTACAACAGATGAACAAACACTAAACAACTGTTACAGTTCTGATGTTTAAAACAGACTGAAATATGAAGTGTCTCCGGTGTAAACCTGATTCACTGTCTGAACGCTTTAATCCACATTAGAACTGGATTAAACACCTGATTCAGTTCTGGTGTCTGAAGAGTTTAATCTACATTAGAACTGGATTAAACACCTGATTCAGTTCTGGTGTCTGAACGGTTTAATCTACATTAGAACTGGATTAAACACCTGATTCAGTTCTGGTGTCTGAACGGTTTAATCTACATTAGAACTGGATTAAACACCTGATTCAGTTC